CTGGAATAGCACATCACCAGAGAACTGCCAGAGAGCAGGCTGGGTTTAGAAGAGGCCATGGTAATAGGGATGTTATAGCTAATATTAGGTGGATCTTGGCTGAAAGCAGAGAGTATCAGAAGAATATCTGTGTTTCACTGATTATCCAAAGGCATTTGATCATGTGGATTACAACAAACTGTGGCTGACTCTGAGAAGAACACTTGATTGTGCTTTTGTAAAAACTGTATTTGGATTAGGAGGCAGTCATCAGAACAGAGCATGGAAACACTGTATGGTTCAAAATTGGGAAGAGTGTACACCAGAGATGTGTCCTATTTCATAGCTTTTCAATCTATATGCAGAACAGATCACCAGGGAAGCTGGGCTATGTGATAAAAGTGGCATCAGGATTGGCGGAAGACTTAGTAACAACCTGTGATATGGAGATGACACAACTCTGTTTGCTGAAACTGAGGAAGACCTGAAGTGCTTGCTGCAGAAGATCAAGGACTGCAGCCTTAAGTATGGAATGAAGCTCAACATCAAGAAAACAAAGATTCTCACTACTGGGCCAATTGGCAGAATCATGATAGACAGTGAAGAAACTGAGAATGTTAGCAGCTTCAGTCTGCTTGGCTCCACATTCAACACTTTTGGTACCAGCAGGCAGAAAAGCAAAAAAGTTATTCTGGAGACTAAGGTGCACCTGACCCAGACCATGGTCTTCACAATTACTTGCTATGCATCAGAAGGCTGGATAATGATAGAGATGATAAAAGGAGAATTGAAGCCTTTTAGCGATGGTGCTGGAGTACTGAATGTACCATGTACTGCTAGGAAAACCAAGAGGTTCATCCTAGAGAGGGTGATACCAGGCTCCTCCTTGGAGGCAAGGATTCTGAAGCTTGGTCTGACATACTTTGGGCATGTTACAAGAAGGGACCAGTAGTACTTGGAGAGGGACATCATACTTGGGAGGTGAAGGGACAGCACAAGAAAAGACCCTCGATGAGATAGATTTATTCAGTCAGTGGGGTGGTAGAGTAGGTGTGTCAGAGACAATAAGGTTGGAACAGGATAGAAAAGGGTTTGAGGCTGTTGTACAGAGGGTTGCTATGAGTCGCAAGAGACTTGACGGCACATTAACAAGAACTGCCCCTCTTGACAACATGTCCAAAGTATGTGAGACCAAGATTTACCATTCTTGCCTCTAAGGAGCACCCTGGTTGCACTTCCTATAATACACATTTTTGTTCTTTTGGCAGTCCATGGTGCAGTCAATACTATTCTCTAACATTACAATGCAAAGACAACCATTCTTCTTTGTTATTTACTATACAAACTATGGCTTGGATCAAACACATATTAGTCTTTTTTTTT